GAAAATATATATCTTAGACATTTTTTTCTCCTTTTTTCCTTTTTGCTACTTCGCTACATTCAAACAATGACTGATCAAATAAAAATATTTATGTCCTTGTAATACTGTACGAGGTGCAAAATGCGGCATAATTTTTTTTATTAAATAAGTAAAACTCATGTTTTTGGCGAAATAACGTCCAATTAGATAACTTGATCGGAACACAAAGAGCCATTTTTTTTATAAAAGGACATCAACTATTTTTGCTAAAACTCGACCATATTATGTAATAAAATAACCAGATCTACAACTACAACATTATAAATTCTGTTTCTATAAGCTAATCGTTGGGGAATTTGGAACAACAATGTTAACACACGGATGCTCTTCCATAAATTTCATAAACAGACAAAACAAAAAATGGAGTTTAAATATGACCTACTTATGGTACAAAAAGAAGACATGTATTTTTGTCTAAAAAAGGGAATGAGTAATGTAAAATACGTCAAATTATACTCAATTACCTATGCATAACATGTTAAATTAATTATTTAAATCATCTATACGTGTAGAGTTTTCTACACCGCGAAAATTTCAGTGTGTGCGAAGTTTTAAACACGGTAAAAAAAGCTAAAAAATAAGAAAGAGGAGGTAAAACGAAAAAGTAGCAGAAATAAAATCCAACGGCCCAAAGGTCCCCACACGCATGTAAAAACAACTCCATTCCTCCCCTATTAAATCCATCCATTTCCAAGATCCTCTCTTCATCATCATCTCTAACTCTAACTCCTAACTCTTCCACATTTTTCTCTTCTTTCAACTTCAGACGTAAATATTTTTGCCCCCCTCATTTTTCCATGTTAGTTGAGTTTCAGATCATCTAATTCCATTTCTGGGGGGTGTACCTAGAAACTCAATTTCCATGGAATTTTCTTGACCAAAAATTGACCTGTATTGAGTACATTAAGAAGAAAACATCATGGAGGTAGCTAGAATTAGACAATTGTTGCTCCTTTGGTGTAGAATCAGATCTAGTCGTGTTGCTCTTGTGGGTGGTAACCACACCGCTGCCAGGTTTTGCACTCGCTAAATTCTCCTCTCTTCCACCGTTGGCTTTTCCTCTCTCTGTTCTTATAGTAGTTGTTAAGAATTTGTCACGTACAACTATAGGAGCACAAGGTACAATCAATTGTTGCACAGTCTTGATTCCAAAGCTGTAGAATTTTGGATTGTTTTGCTGTTAAGCGATGGATTTGGGTCGTGAGTATTGCCCCAAAAAGGGAAAAAAGGGGAATCAATTTCCTGGGGTTAAAATTGGACTGAATCAAGATGCCCTTTTGATAATTAAGCTACCAGATTCGAGGGCTTTAAGGATTATGTCACGATCCTTGTTCTTGGCAATGGTTCTTCTCACATTGCCCTCGATTGGGTCCATACTAAGAGGCTCATCCGATGTAATCGACGTGAATTCTGATGATGTGAGGGACTTTAACATGTTGCATAATCTTTTTCGTGATTTGGGAGATGAAGGCCTTGTTAAAAAGGGCCAAAAAGGGCTCATTTTGAGCTCTGAGAATAATGATCATTTGGTGGAAGATTTGGAGTTGTTGAATGACAATGTGGTTGATTTGGTGACTGATTCAGATATGGATAACAAGAATTTAATCCCAAATGAGGCGTTCGATTTTGCAATTGCATGCTCTAAATGGAACAGTAAGTTCATTGATCGTGTGCTCAAGATTGGTGGCATTGTTGTCACTCAACTGAGCAATGATCCTTTAGCTGAGCTTAAAGCTCTAGCTAACTATAGAATTGTGTACATACGACGATTCGACAAGACTATGATTGGTATGAGGAAAATTGGGATTGTAAACGATGAGCTGAATTCGCGGAAAAAGAACATTCTTTGTGGAAGCACACATGAGGATAAGAAAGTTGCGTTGAAAGGATTAGAGGATGTGTTGTTTGAGCCACCAAGAAAGGCATTTGTGCGATCAGTTTCAAGGAAGATGAAGTTTCTTCCTGAGTTGTTAGAGGATTCGCTTGAGAATTACCCCCGAAGAGTTTTCATTTCTGATGAGAAAAATGGGGTAGCAGAGTGGTTTCAAAAGAACTACCCTGCAAAGAATCAAGATTTTGAGATTTACAACTTGGATGTTGAAATCCAAGATTCAGAGGAATCAGGGAACGGGGCGCCATTACTTGGGGCCGCAGAATGGTTAAGCAAAAACGTGAAGGAAGAGGATTATGTTGTGATGAAAGCAGAAGCAGAAGTGGTGGAAGAAATGATCAAGAAGAAGACAATATGTTTGGTGGATGAGTTGTTCTTGCACTGCAGAAATCAATTGGAAGATGATGATGATTTTGAAGAGGAAAATGGAAGCCAGAGGAGGGCTTATTGGCAATGTTTGACATTGTATGGGAAGTTGATAGATGAAGGGGTTGCTGTGCACCAATGGTGGAGTTGAACCTAAGGAATGTGAGACACTTGGTTTAGCTTTGTATTTTTCTCAGTCTATTGTTATTGTTTTTCATTTCATGTATCAAGTTTAAGGCATTGTTGTTTGATTGTGCTTTGTTTCTGTTGGCCAATGTTGGCATGAAAATTGTTGTGTGGTTTATTTAATGTATTCATTTTCTCTCCTTTTCGTGGATTCTGTTTAGGGATTATTAGTAGTTGATAAGTTGGGATCTTCATGTTCGTATAGCGGCGTGTAATACATTGAGCTCGTATTGGCTTTTAGTTCATAAGAGATGAACCCAACCCAATACCTTTTTATGGGTTATGAGCCCACACCAAATTCTGCCTAGCGGCGAAGTGCACAAATAGTACTAGTAGTTTTTAGGGGTTGAAGTACACAAATTGCTCTCAAGGTGGATGGTAATGTTTCCCCTCGGACAATATTTTTAACTTTTGACACCCATAGGGCAAACGGGGGTCAAAATATTTCTGCAATTTTTTGGTTCTTAGGTCCCTTATTTACAGAATAGTCGAAAATTATAAGGGTTTTAAAGTTTAGCAATTTTAGAAAAAATATTGTTTCTCTGTCTCCCTTTGCGTCCTTACAATTTTTTGTATCAGATGAATTTCTCATGAACTTAATAAAGTACGTGTCAACAGTGGGCTTATCATTGATGTAGAATCTTGTAATAACTCCAACCTCACCATGGTACTTATGTTATAATCACATCTTTTTCTAAAGGACCTGTAAATTTTAGATGCACTTATAGATTTTGGCTGTTAATGGATTTCCCAATTGTTACTCCACACAAATATATTTAATCATTTATCAAGTTACAATTCTCTGTTTGTTTTGCAGAGGAGCAATTGCTTTAAAAACACAGTTGCAACTCGCAAAGTATTACTTGCCCTTTAGTTTCGACTGTCGGTAATTTCAGACGATTCGTCAAATGAGTGGAATTTAAAATTAAATCAATCCCCAAGATGTATCAAATGTTGGAATTTTATGCTATGTTATCTATCTTTCTGACCGTCCAGCCCTTATATATTGTCTATTTTTATCATTGGTTTTATGCAATTATCATTTCATGAGTAATGAACTAGCTTTTAGAGTTAAGTGTAAGATCCATTTCCTTAACAACATTCTAATTGCTCTTTAAAAATGGAACGTCAAATAGACCCATGCCTAGCAAATGGAGCGGGGGGAGGGGGTGATGAAATCATGAAAGGAGTTGCATTGTATCTTTAATTAATTGAATATCCATCCTTTCTGGTCAAATAAATACATACAGAACCGATGTGGACGATGAAAACATTTTATTGTCTATTATTTAATGACTTAGTTTTCTTTTTTTTCTTTTTTTTTTTTACCTAGAACCCCAATACACTCTATGTACATGAAGTGTAAAACCCGGAAACGTTGGATGAGGCGAGAAAATAAAAAATGTCACCCTCTAAGAATTGATTGGAACTCCGGGATTATTGCGTTACTCATAAAATATATAAAAAGAAAAAGATAGGAATAATAAGAAGAAAATATTTATTTACTCATATATCATAATCAAACTAGTCTTCATCATCGTAAGGATTAACAAGTACAAAGCTTAGATACATAGATCACAACATCGACTAACATTTGCTTCACGAAGCAAATTAAATAATAGAAACACACCTAACTAGATAATATATAAAATAGAAGTTAAGGTCATTCGGAACGGACATGCATGTAATACAACATTGTAAGTACTAATTAAGCAACGTACACTTACAACAGAAGAGATATTAATGAATTATTTAACGATAAACGTAGAGGCCAACTCCTTTAATTTATAGCATGCATTTCAAGGACTAGTGGTCTGTAGAGGAGGTGGGAAAATTGGGAAATTAGGAAGATTGGGATTTGAAGTGCCAGGGAATGAAGATGGTGGAAATGGAGGAAAATTTGGCAAGCCGGGAAAACCAGATGATGGACTAGGCAAAGTTGGAGTTGTAGGCAAAGGGAATGAGGGAAAACCAGGGAAACCTGGTGCCTGCAGAAGATTACGAGCTGCTATAGCTTGGCCAATGCCTGAAATTGACACTGTTATTATGAGAAGAGCTATGAGGATAGTCTTGGAAGAAGAAACCATATTGTTTTGTGTTTGTAAGAAAGTCTTAGTTGAAGTAGTCAAGTTTTGCTGTGAGAGTATGTGCCAGGGGTTTTGGGTGGTTATATAGAGTTGTAGTATGAGGGTATAGAAACATTATGAGCATTCAATTTGTTCACCCTCCTGTGTGGTTGAGAACATGGAAATCCATGGACATAAATTCTTGTAGCTGTCTCTCTCTTTAATTCGACGGGTTGACGATTTGATTATTTCATGAAATACCAGTAATCTCCCATTGACACATGTCGTTGGTACTTAGCGTTTTTCGTTTTTATTGGAATTAAATCTCGATTTTTCATGATTTTCACTCACTTCATTGACCATTAGGTCACACCCTCAAATGCAATTTTGTTGTCTCTTTTACTTTATTTCTCTCCTTTTTTTGGATAAAGTTATTTATAGTCTAACTTGGTATAATCCCTGTTTATTGGCATTTAAAGAGTTGGTTAACTTCCAACTTACCCTCGATCCAACTTGAAGTAGATCTTCATTTTCAGATTCTTTTATAGATGATTTACATTCCTTTTCTTTTCTACTTCGTTAATTTACTTTTTGATGTTATCTCTTTTGAAATACTTCGTTACTAGAGACATATAAGTATTCTTATCTAGTAGACTAGTACCATAGGCAGAACAATTACTCAACTAGGAAATATAAAGATTTGTACTTGTTTAAGTTCCTTATAGTCCCTATCATATTTTCTTAAAAAAGAAAAAGCCAAAAAAGAAAAACAATCAAGAATTAACTCAGTGATCTAGAGACTTAAAAGTGTACCTTATATAATTGCGCATCAAAACGATTGTTCAGCTTATTTTCTTCTCCACATTCTTTGATCTTAACAAATAATGCAAAAAAGTAGTAAATTGCAGTTTAATTTTGTTACTATAAACACTAGGTAAACATATATTTTTCGACTTAGGGTAAGGGCATTCAAGGAAAAAGTGTCAAATGCTTCTGTAAAACAAATTTAGGAAGAATGCATACAACTAAAATGAGAATTTAATTTGATTATCCTTTTCTTTTTCTTTCTACTGAAAATTGTAACGGTGTGTCTTAGCAGGACTTAAAAATTGCTATATTACATTTAGCATATTCATAATAATATTCTGTCATATATAGATAGGAATAATCTCAATGATGCAAATATTTTCTAGCCACGAAGTAAGGTAAGATGAATTCAGACCATTCAAACCAGGGTAGTTTGGATTTTGAATTTAAGAATTACAGCTTATTGTCATGAATCCTTTGGTCTCTTAAATGTGCCCGCTGTCATTGTTCGTTGAGCGTTCAATACATTAAAGTGGCTTTAACAACAACCAAGTACATGAAAAGCGAAGCTTGTCCGAAAAGAACATACTTAATAGACTAAAGAAAAGGAAAGGAAAAACAGTGACACCAGTCACAAGAAGAATTTAGCTTTCGTTTTCTTCTTCTAATATCCGAAATTCACTAGTCCTTCGGATTCGCATCGGTAATATTCCTTATCAAGAAATTCTCCAATTTTAGAGCTCGAATATGATACATATGATTA